CTGTTGCCAAAGTTCTGTTAATCCATCCGGTCCCAGGAGGTGGAAGTGACACCTCCTGTTAGCATATTGATGTAGCAAACCTTGTATAGAGGATTGTTTTAGGTCTGTTCTACTAACTTAAAATATGCAGGAAAAAGTCAATGACAAATATGAGTCACTTGGGAAAAACAATCGTAGGGGGAGGTGTGTGTAGATAAGGGTCTTTGTGATATTGAGGGTAAAAGATAATTTCATAACATTTCAAACTATTGCTTCAACCATACCATGAGATAAGAAATTCCTTTATTAGTCCCACAGCAGGAAGATGTGCAGTGTCATAGCAGCAAGGGGGATACTGCAATAACATGAAGTGTCTGTACAAAAAAAACATGATACAATAAATAAGTAAACCATTCTAGCAATCTTATATAATAAGTAGACAGACTGAACGGCTGAAGAAACTGTACCACTGGGGGGCATTGCAACAATTTGTAACACTGGTATTATACGGCTTTAATGTTGTTGAGGCAAACTTGTTGGCACAACATGCCCAGCAGACACAGAGAAACATCATTAGCTTCATGTGGATTCCTCTTTCTGGCCACTTAGTAGATACAACTCCAATATTCACCATCCTTTTAGATGTGTTTTGTTTTGCTTCTGTAAAATGCTTAACGATGTTCATCACATTTGGTGCTGGCCAGGTATCTTACAATGAGATAATCAGAGCATTGCTAGTAAAACCCAGCTATGTATAGCTAAAAATGCAACAAAAAGAAGAAAATAAAACCATAGTGCTGACGCTCATCTTTGGAGCCATCACTTCAGGTGACCTCTTCACATTAAACATTTGTACCTTTTGCAGACCATTTACATTCACAAAAACCTATGTAACACACTACAGGAAAGGGACAGGGTGCGTACGGGTGCTGGAAATTCTTGAAAATGCTTGAAATTGTACGAGGTGTTTTCAAGGTTTGAAAAGTGCTTGCATTTTGGGAATGGTGCTTGAATTTGGGATAAAGTGCTTGAAATTGTAAATGCTTTACTTCGCTTTTTAGATTAAAAGAAAATAAAGAAGTCGGAGCGCGCTTAATTGCTTCGCTTTTACATAAAACAGCTCCGCTCCGGCCTTCCCGCGCAATGCGCGTGACCGGCAAGTGTTTTTGTTACGTGTGTGACCTGGGCATTCTGATGAGAGTGATAGATGACAGGATGCCAGGAGGTTGCCGTTTCAACGAGCGTTGGCTAGCAGAAGACAAATACAAGCCATGGCTAAGACGAGGGTCAAGCGAAGCCCAAGAGTAGCCTCCTGCAAAGTGTGCAACAATAACGATGCGAGAGTCTGCGCTGACGAGCCACACACCACACGAAAGGTACGCCGTAGTAGAGCATTTTAGATTAGGCTATCGTTGCATGTAAAATACATGACACTTTTCTCTGTGCGCGGCAAAGCAAGCTCGCCAAAATGGCTTCACTAGTCTGGCAGTATTTTAAGTGTCTGAAAATGACAATAAAATAGCGGTATGCAACGTGTGTGTGAAGCAGAAATCCTGCAGCTCCACCCGCTGTGACGGACCGGTGAGCGGAGCAGAACACACATTAAGAGTTAGACCTAACACACTTAGCTATTTGATCTACCTCTGGAACAAGCTAAACTAGTTATAAATATATTTATTCTTCACTGTCGGGTCGCTCATTACTGGATCAGTGAGCTGCAAGGAGATACTGACAGGCTGTCAGGAGAGAGAGAGAGGGGGAGAGCGGAAAAGAGAGCGCTTCCGCTAATTTCTCCCGTGTTATTATCCCAAGTTAATGTAAACTTGAATAATGTACTTCATTTGAATGTAATAATTATGTTGGTTGGTTGGTTTGTGGAAGCGCCAGTGAATGAGCCCCATTAACTGAGTTTTAAACATCACTTTAAATGGAAGATCGGCCGATACTGATTTCGGCGATCGGCCCCAAAATTGGCGATCGGAGCATCCCTAATAATTGTATATGATATGTTTTATAATGATTGATCATTAAAGTGTTCTCAAAGCTGGTAAAGGTGCAGCTAGTTTGAATGACTTTGTATACTGCAGGGTAGCTTGTGAATTTACTCCAGGTGGAACTAAAGTCTGATTTAACACTTGATTATATTTCACATCATTGATCCACATCTGTAAAGTAACTAAAGGTATTAAATACATGTAGTGGAGTAAAAGTACACCATTTACCTCTGACTTATGTTTACTGCCAACCTAAAAGTACCTCAAAAATAGTAATCAATGTATTGAAAAGTTATTTGGCTGATTGTTTTATATTGGCTCAGCCAGGTTATATGGGATGCCCAGTCTACGTACAGATGGGTCACACATTTTGAAATATTAAACTTAGTTTTCTTTTCTAAATTTTTTAATTGTTCATCCTCATGTAGAATGCTATTATGAAACACACATTTGGTTGTTTATAGCATAAAGAACATCAGATTTAATGTGAGGTAGGGAAATAATCATTTGAGTATAAGTATGTGTATATAAATATGTAATTTACAACAGCTGTAAGATGCTTGAAAAGCTTGAAAATGCACCTTGAAAATGCTTGAAAAGTGCTTGAATTTGACTTTGGAAAAGGTGTAAGAACCCTGAGGGAAAACCCCTAAAAGCATAATAATAATAATAATAAATAATAAGGGCCCCTTTAACTATCGAGGTAGCTGATCAGAAAACGTTTTCATGGTCATACACTGCTGCTCTTTAGCTGACTAAGTAAAAAAACGACAAAAGAGATAAGCAGAGGATTTAGGATCAATAAAGTATCACATAACTTTGTGCCTGTTATTTATCAGCCCCTGTCTTCAAACCACTTATTGCTTCTCAGGGGGCCAGAGCATATCCCAGCATGCCCATGGCAGAGAGAACCCAGTCTCGGCTCAGCCTGTGTATCCCTATAAGTCCATGGCTCATTTCCCGCTCAATACGGCGAAATGGTAGAGCTGGGAAATAGACAAGAACAATAATAATCCAATATTCGTAAGCCTTGATAAAATAAAGAGATGTTTGTGAATAGAATATGTTAGGCCTGCCAGCTGTACTGCAATGTACTGGTATAAAGTTTGAGAGTTATTTTTCCAAACTTTCCCACTAGGCTGGTGCAAAAGAAAGAAAAATCCATAGAACAGGAAGTTCTGCAGCTTCATCTTCTCCCAGTTTATTTATTCATAACCGTCCTCAGACTCTCAAACACACAGCATATGTGACCTTTATTAACCCTGCCAAAGAGTTGACAGCGCATGGAACGTCTTTTTTAGTTGTCTAAGATTGCATACAATCAAAAATGCCCTTTTTTATTTTCTCTTTTTTTTACTTTTCTTTTTTTCAAAGTGACAGTTTGTCCACAACAAATAATGATTATCTTCCACAGAGGAGGTTCATTTCCCAGTCAATGCGTTTTTGGAATTAGTACATCTTAATGGCTGCTATAAAAAAGGCAGAATTATCGACCTACGGTGAGGAAAGCGATGAAATAATTATCCTACACCAAACTTCAAGTTTCAAATGATATTCTGTAATGAGTTGCTGCTGTTGAGCATAAGGTTGAATTATCATCGACGTCTTGAAACCTGAACATCACATAACAGAGCTCAGAGTGCAGCTCCAGTTTCCCTTTGAAGACTTGATGAAAGTCATTTAATTATTTCTATCCTATATTTCTACTTCTACTTAAATTCCTCTATACATTCAAAGTGGGTTATTGTCATTTCTGTGACAAATAGGTAGTTTATTTGTCAGATTAAGGAATTTATCGCCATCTGATTTGTCAATAGCTGGCGGCAGTGGCTCAGACTGTAGGGATTTGGCCTTGAGACCGAATGGTCGCCGGTTCGAGTCCCGATAGGACCAAAAAAATACGGAGTGTGGACCGGTAGCTGGAGAGGTGCCGTTCACCTTCTGAGCCCCGAACTGCTGCCTGGCTCCGGCCAGACTGGACCTGTGTGTGTGTGTGTGTGTGTGTGTGTGTGTGTGTGTGTGTGTGTGTGTGTGTGTGTGTGTGTGTGTGTGTGTGTGTGTGTGTGTGTGTGTGTGTGTGTGTGTGTGTGTGTGTGTGTGTGTGTGTGTGTGTGTGTGTGTGTGTGTGTGTGTGTGTGTGTGTGTGTGTGTGTGTGTGTGTGTGTGTGTGTGTGTGTGTGTGTGTGTGTGTGTGTGTGTGTGTGTGTGTGTGTGTGTGTGTGTGTGTGTGAGATAAAGATCCTTTAAAATACAATGCACTGATAAATATCAAACCAGTTGTCCCTGAAAATGTTGTGTTGAGACCCCTTCAAATGTGTATTATCTGTTAGGAGTTCCCCCCCCAAAAATGGTTTAATATAATAATGTTTAACGAAGTCAAACAGTTAATAGAAATGAACTTACAAAAAACCTCATGATTTATCTTGTGGCCCTAGATAGGAGACAGACCTATACTGTAAATGCCCCATTGGAAACAGCTTTGCCCGACAACCAAATGCATCGATCATTTGGCGGTGATGAGGCTTAATGATCATAATAACACTTGTAGCTTAATGTAGCTTGGGAACCTCGGACTAAACTATAAATTAAGTAGTTTAAACTAGCTCCACCTAGACGATATACAAGTAGTAGAACAACATTGTAAAGACTTAATGCAGTATTACCAAGATAATTATACAATAATACTTATTTTTATAGTTTAATTACATTTTGATGATGATATGTTTTTTCTTTTAGTAATGTAGGGTTGGTGTATCTTCACTTATAATGGATTACTTTTACATTGGTGCACTGATACTTGAGCGAAAGGATTTGAATATGTTTGGCACAGAGGCTGTAGGTGTTGCATTAAATGGTTAGAAAATCCTATTTTGTACGTTATAATTGTAAATATATAGATAGCATAATTGTAAGTTTGTTCACTTTGTCAAACCACCATACAGCTGGTTTTGTAATACCTCACTTTAATAAAATAGTTAAATATGTAGTGGTATTAAGAAATGTGGAATAAGGAAACAAGGCATCTTACAGCGTTATAAATGAGCAACATTTATTTCCACTTTTTGTACATTAAACGTGCATATCAATACAACTGAAATTGGTCATATAAATACCTTTACCATAACACTGTTACAATAAATATGGCTCTACTGATCCGAGAGTAAATAAAAACAAATTTCAATATCAACCGCTGTGCGAAAAACAAAAAGACACTCAGGAAAAAAACTGTACATGTGTTTGGGCACATTTTCATCTCAGACGATGGATTTGGGGATTGTGCTAAGATTAGGGCCTAATAACTATTCCTATTCTCATCTGGAAAGTGACCCCTTTCGTGGCTGTGCTTCATTCTAAAAGTGATGTTAAAAAAAGTTCAAGAAAACAGTTGTCCTTCGCCTCTCTGTACGCAGACAGCACTTTGTCAATAAGGAAATTGTGCCATGCCTTCGCCAATTTGTGCTGGAGAGCAGAAGTGCACGCACACACACACACACACACACACACACACACACACACACACACACACACACACACACACACACACACACACAATGCTCAAATAATGTATACTTCATAGTACAATTTAAAGCGGGCACTCTGCTCCAGGTCGATGTATGTTGTAACTAAAAAGAAGGCATTTTTACCCTGGCGAGCAGTGAAAAGGTTGTGACACAGCAGTGATTCACAGTAACACATCACCACATCATGTCAAAATATTACATACAGTACTTAATAAGATTACCAAGAAGCTCTTAATCTGATAACGTGCAAAATGAAACACACCTATCCATTCACAAAACTCCCACGCACAATGTTCATCTTTTTGATGATACACAATGAGTAATTAATGTATAGATTGAGTAATAAATATCAACACACAAATGCCTCACTCCAGCCTCAGTAATATCTTTCCTTTCAAGCAAATGTCATTAAAATGTCATTCCATGCACTTTCCTTCAATTCACTTTACAACACCTTTCAAAATACTGCTTAAATCTTGTACTTTCTTAACACTACAAACTAAAATAATTGTCCACACAGAGAGAGGACACGATGGCAGAGGTTTTAAGCGACAGAAGGTTGGATGCCGTTAATGCTGAAAGCAATGATTGGATCAATATCCAATGTATTGTGTTTAAAAAAAAAAAAAAAAAAAAAGTTTAATTTCAGTGGCTAAATCTATATATAACAGCATAGCAAAGTTCCAAAGTCCAAAGATTCAAAGTCAATCAAATAGCCTATTGCGCGGTATCAATAATAACTAATGATACAAAGAGTTATAAACATCTGTGAAAATAGACAAAAAACGAGAGTAAACACGTTCAGTCGACCGTAGCAACAAGGAGAGGAGGCGCTCTGTGTTACCCTCCACCTCAGAAGCCAGGCACATGGCAGTAAGCCTCCAGGGAGGACAACAGGATGTAGATGAACCAGAAGGAGAGGAAGAGGAAGAAGGTGAGGAGCTTGGGTGTCCGTGGGCCCCCGAGCTCTCCGCCCGCCACGCTGGGACGCCGGCGGTAGACCAGCACCATCACACACACCAGCGCCATGACGGTGAACACGGTGACGGAGAAGGCCAGCGAGCCCGGGTCCACCTTGAACACCTTGCCTTTGGACTTCCAGTAAACAGCGGCGATGGTCCACGCCACCCCGATACCCAGGAACACGTTGACGGCGTTGCTGCCCGTCACGTTGCCGATGGAGGCGTCAGCGTATTGGTCCTGGATGGCAGCCGTTTTACTCGCAAATGTATCTGTAACAGAAATGTAGGTGTATAGATTAGGCATCAAAAGAAAAGGAAAAGGATTCATTCAAATGAGCTAGTAATAGAGATCAGTGTGAGCACTCTGACCAGAGACTTTAGAACCACAAATGACAGTTGGTCCTGTAAGGGATCATTTTTTATAGGTAGTAAAAATAAATGTATTTTTGATTGGTCTCTTAACTCCTATCACTTCGCGGCCCCCCAGCCCCATGGCTTCTTTTTATAATGAACTAATAATGTATTCATGCTTTAAAGAACAGTTAGAGACCATGAACAAGAATATGTTTTACGTTGCTGGGTTGTGGAAAATCTTTGTATTTGTTATTATGACACAGCTTACTGTAGTTGAATACTCGATTCTCATTTTGGACATTTAAGAGGTTGTTAATACTCGATATAACACTGCTGCAGCAAAGTAATGATTGTTGTTAAGAAGGATTAAGGTAGAGAATAAACGTTGGATGTTAGAGAAATTAACAGTAGAAGGCAGACAGGAAGTAAACACTAACAGGAACACAATATGGGCTCTGGCATTGTTTAAGGACTTGTTAGTAGAACAGAAACTGTGAACAGACTTCGACAGTTACAGAAAACATTGATCAGTGCTGCTGGTCATTTTTAAGTTGCGTTGTTGTTGTCGCAGTTCCAGCCGTTGGTAAGCCGTGCATTTAAATGTTTTATTGAAACTCCACCCAGTCTGCAGCAAGTTACAAATGTAAAAGTTCAACATATTGAGAAATGTGCTTTCTGGAGGGGAGTTAGATGAATATTGATTATAACTCTTGTATCTTGTCCAGCAGATGGTCGGCTTAGTTAAGCTGGGGATGTCATAGACAACTAACTTTTATTTTTTGCTTGCTCCTGGGAGAAAGGTGAAGTTGATCTGGTTCGTTGTTCTGTGGGTAAAGCAGCGTGCTGACAATGGAATGACACACAGGTCACAGATTACATGAGCGGGATGCAACAGGTCAGGTACTGAGCTTTAAAGGTGCTGGTATAGGTATATCCCGTTTCCTTTCTACAGAACCAGGTGAGCTGTTTTCAGTCTTGCTGCTAAGCTATATTAACTGTCTCCTGGCTGTAGCTTCATATTTATAGTTCAGACACGAGTGGTATGGATCTTCTCATTAAAGTCTGTGCCAGAGAGTTAACAAGCATATCATGTCAAACCATTCCTTTAAGTTGTTAATACATTTAGTTGCGGTCAAAAAGACAAAGACGATGTTACCCAGCTAAAAGTATTTTTTGACACATGGCCAGCTAAAAATGGCCATGTGGGCGGGAGTGGTTCAGTCTGTAGGGGATTGGACTTTGGACCGAAGGGTTGCCGGTTCACGTCCCGATCGGACCAAAAAATACGGAGTGTGGACTGGTACTGGAGAGGGGCCAGTTCACCTCCTGGGCCACTGCCGAAGTGCCCTTGAGCAAGGCACCTAACCCCCAACTGCTCACTGGCGCCGGCTAGACTGGCTGCCTCCGCTCTGACCTCTCAACTGCATGTGCATGTGTGCATATAACTGTGTGTGTATTTGTATATGTATGTGCATGTTGTAAAAAGTGTGTACTGTGTGTACTGCATGACCTGTATAAAAACGCATGTGTGTATACGACAGAGTGGAAACTGAATTTAATAAAGGTCCATCTTCTTCTTCTTCTTCTTCTTCTTAAAGCGTGTACATACAAATGGCTTCTGACTGATCTGTGGAGCATTACATGTTTTGTTTACCACAAATTACCTAAACCCCCCCCCCTTGTACAACATTTATCAGTATTTTCTTCACATTAAGCTTTGTTTTAAAGCCGGTCTCCTGCGTGCCTCTGTGTCAGTGTTTAAGACGTGGTGACATGGAAATGCAATTAGGCAGCACGGAGAGAACAAGGGAAACAGTCTTTTTCTTTGTTTACAGCTTGTTTCAGACAAGAGCTCAGGAGAGAATTATTCTGACAGCACAGGTTACACAAGTCTACAGCACGCACTAAACACAGAGGTAACCAAGGACAAGTCCCCTGTCAGAGTGGACAGACGCCCACCTGGTACAGAGGTGCCGAGGGCCACAAACACCACGGCGGTGACCGAGTCCTTGAGCCCGACGGTGCAGCCGAAGTGACAGGCCAGGTCCCCGGTCACAGCTGTCAGGACGCCGATGAGGGAAATGGACACAAAGAAACACGCCCAGCCATTCCAGTACTCAGTGGGGGGGACAAAAGCAAAGAGGACTTTCCAGAACACTGTCAGGAAGTGCATAATGTAGTCAAAGCAGGACGGCAGGCGCTCCTCCCCGCTGTCTTCCTCGTCGTCGTTACCTGGCAGACACAGATAAGATGCATGAAGGCTTGCAAAATATTTACTCCCTGCGTTTGCATGCTGCTGTTGCGGTCTTCATCCTTCAGTATAGAAAACTGAATCAGACCAGAGAATATATTCTCTAATATCCTCAAAAGATAACAATCTTCTAACCAATTTAAGTCCTGATTATCACTACCCAATATTCATTCCTTTTCAGAGTTTTAACCCTTTAAATTCCTTTCCAATGAAAGAATATGTGTATTTTTTATGCTAGGATGTTTTTTTACAGTCTCTGCTGTGTATTTTTGCAGAAACAGGAAATTGCATGTATTTAAATGATGGGGTGAGTGTGCACAAATTGCCAAATCTGAAGGGAAATTGAAACAAATAATATATCAAGTAATTATGGATGTTATGCTGTAATAACTGTCAGAACAAAATGTAATAACAAACAAGCCAAATGATAGAAAACCTTGAAATAGCTGTGACCTTACATCTCATGTCGGAAATTGATATTAAATCATGATGGAGTAAATAGTTTCAGGTTTCATGATTTAGTTAAACTTAAAATACGTGTCTTACAGTCAAATCTAGCCAAGACGATACCCAAACCCCCCCCCCCATCACATTCAAGCCATCCGACGATTGTGTGGGAGCAACTCTCTGCATTACATCTGTAAATATAGCCGCGACTCAGTTCTTGAGACATACGTATAGGTAGGCAGCATACTTTCTATTTATATATGCACTCTGCATGCAAATCTAAGTGAACCTGATATAAAAGAGCACACAGGAAGACACATCTCTGGTGTCATAGTCAGCTTTTAGCTCTGAAAGGTTCACAAAACCAAGTGAATGGCTGTTGAAAGGGCAAAATAAAAAGGGTATACATCTGCATCATTCCTTCTGAGCCATTAGTTGTCCGGGCAGAGCTGGACAGATTCGTTTTTATGGTTACCCATTCGTAAAATCAGCACATCATGCATTTTTTATGAACCGTCTGGATTTAAAGGGTGCATCATAGGCATGGAAATGCCAAAATGTAATAAAGCAGGCTTTTGTGTGGTAAGCTTTTTCATGTTAAACTGTAGCATTATAGATTCAAACAAAGAAGTATCTAAACCATAGAAAGAAACTGAAGTGAGGTTGGTGAGAAGCAGCCGGTGAGACAGATCCTGCAGACTTAATCTTCCACAGGTGCTCACAGAGGCACAAACAGATGAGACATCTCACCGCGCTGCGACTCACCTGCACTGACAGTGACAGCACTAACAAACTGCTCCCTCCAGCTGCTGCTCCCCACCACCAGAGCCAGGTTCGTCTTCTTTATCAGCTTGTCCACTGTGCTCTGCAGACGGCCACAAAGAAAGAAAGCAAAAGGACGTGATGCACAGTATCAATATAATCCTATCATTGCCTATGAGACTAGGGAGTCCAATATGATGAATTAAGGTGCAATTAACCGTGTTACTCTTCCCTCTGTGGTGCACTGTGAGTCACTAAAACAGATGCAGGGAAGCACAAAAGCCCACAATCCCTCAGGAAAAATGCACATTGCCAGCATAAAGCTGCAGAATGTAAAGCCGTTAGTATCAGCGCATAAAACTGGAGCTCTGAGAATATGTGCAGGATAATGTTCCAGCTTAAAGCGGCAAAACACCAATTCTATACATGCAGATTGTTTTAATTTTCAAAAAGATGACAACAGAAAACCTTCGGAAATGTATCTGACAGAAGCGTGTGCAAGGCTACAATAATACAGATGATGTCATAGTGATGTCATTAGGGTTATGTCAGTTTGAGTTTGGAGAGAAGACATTCGTGAAAGAAAGGCTGCAAAATGAGGGCGTGCAGTATGAAGGACGCTCTGTTGAAATTGCATACTAACATACTATATATGCTATTCTTACTATGATACTATTTAATGCCTTTTGACTGCATAGTATCGAGAAATGCCCAAATGAATACTACATTGGCAAGTAATTCTGAGTATGTGACGTGAGATTATCTGAAATTCCAGCTGCCCTGGAAATGCATTTTGGCTTTTTAAACTGGCCAATGGTGGACTACGAGGCGGGTGGCTTTATTACTTAAAGGGGCCCTATTATGCACATTTTCAGGTTCATATTTGTATTTTGTGCCTTTACTGTAAAATGTTTAAATGCTTTAATGTTCAAAAAGGTCTTTATTTTTCCTCATACTTCCTGTGCTGCAGCAGAAACCAGAGCCCGGTCTGCTCTGATTGGTTAGCTGGCATGGCTCTGGTGTGATTGGTCAGAAGAATTATAATCGAGGCTTTTCAGGCAGGGGGCGGGGGGGGGGGAAGTGTGTGGGAGAGAAACTCCTTCTGGAGGGAACTTTGGGATTTTAGCCTTTGCAGACCATTTACGTTCACAAAAACCTATGTAACAGACTACAGGAAAGGGATACCCCCAGGAGGCATAATAGGGCCACTTAAACATTGTTTTGAGTAATACGGAAATATATTTAACTGTTCGGAAGAGGAAATGATGATTTAAATGTGCGATTAATTGTTTTCATTCAATGTTAGCTTGGACCTGTAACCATCATGTGACGCAGAGAAGATGTTTTCCTTTAGTTTCCTTCAGTGTGCCGGGAATGGAAAACGTAATTGATGAATATACGTACTGGAGTGGAGTATTTAGTACGTTAGTATGAGATTTCGAACACAACCATGGACATTTAGCAGACATAAGCAAGTTGCGTTGTGGGAAATGTAGGATACATAGATTTTTTATATATCTCAGCCTCTGTTGCATCAATTTTTATGTAATGGTTCTCTTTACCCAGGCACGTACAACCCCACACTTTATGGCAGTCCATTTCAAAACCAATTTTGACCCCTTTAAATGCTGCATTACCGTTACATTTGTTTGTTTGTTTGTAGCCTTTATTTAACCAGGTTAAAAAAATCCCATTGAGATCAACAATCTCTTTTTCAAGGGAGACCTGCGGATGATACACTTTTCTCAACTTATTTGACTTTTCAAGTTGGATGAAATTATAAGTGGCAGACTCTACTTGCAGACCCATTAGTTACATGCACATCACAAATAATTCATCCCCCTATAAAAGATTAAATATGAATCCTTAAGTTATATCGATGTGTGTATATATATATGTCATATTCGAAATATTATGACATAATTGCGGTTGCTTCAAAAATAAAATCATTAATGTTTTATACCCCCAGCTCTAACAAAATAATACAAATTAGCAAAAACTGACTAAGGTCAGGATGGATTAAGCGCTCATGGTGATTGAAAGAGATTGTTTTAGATGTCATGATGTTGTGTTTGTTAATGAGCTGGCACAGTGTCTGTAAAATAGTTAAAGGATTTAAAGGTTGTGACAGCTTTTTCTAAAGTAAAAAAAAACGGCTGTAATGGGTACTCAGTATATGGTAAATCATTTAAGAAGAAACTACATATTGGCATTCATCAGCCTACAGCAGCTTGAGACAAGTACACAATCCTTAATGTGATGGCTGAGGGCCACTCTGGAGTAAATAGCTGTTTATTTTGAGTTACCTTGAATTCATAGGACTCCTCAATCACCACCTCCAGCGTGGTGTGCTCGCCCAGGATGGGGCAGCCCATCTTTGACACGTCCTCCGGTCCCGCGCCTGTCTTGTTATCATTGGTGTCTCCTGCGGCACAGTGTGAGAAAAGTGTGTCAACTATGAGCCGTCATTTCCCACACAGGGGATCTGCTACTTAATAAGACAACATATCTACTGATAAGGAAACCCATCTACAATGTGAACTGTTTGATAATGAAGTATAATTAACCATTTGCTTGTCTAATTGATTTCAGGTATACAAAAGATTTTTTCTATGTTGATTATTTCTAACAATGCTTTATTTGTAAGTATTGTATGACCTAAACAAGTTTAATTTACGTCATTGTGTTGACATGAGTTGGGTGGGTAGGGGGTAAGCTTGTTATACAATCATTAAAGGAGCACTATTATCCTCTTTTTCAGATTCATAATTGTATTTTGTGCCTCTACTGTGACATGTCTCCATGCTTTGATGTTCAAAAAGCTCTTTATTTTTCTCATACTGCCTGTGCTGCAGCACCTTTTTTCACCCTGTGTCTGAAACCAGAGCCCAGTCTGCTCTGATTGGTTAGCTGGCTGGCTCTGCTGTGATTGGTAAATCGCTTAAAGATGTCCCGCCCCTTAGCATATCACGTATTTTGCAATATTGTCAGATAATTCAACACATTAAACAAATATGATTAAGGTCGTACTTGTCCCTTTTAGCTCTAATCCTGATATAATGATTTTAAACGCTGAATAATGTTTCTGCTGCAAAAGGGGCTCTCAATAAAAGCAATAACACAATTGTGGTGTTGCCAACTAGAGTGGTGTCGTGGGATTTTGTGTTTACAGTTAGCTTCCCCCGGTTACTGTTATTTCATTGTTCATTGTATTTGTTTTTTGGCATTTAAATGCAGAAATGTAATACCTTCAACCCACGCTATTTGACAGTTCAACAATTTAAACACAAGTACTCAATCATAAAACTAAGGGACTAAAGAGATCCCACCTTAGACCTTAAGAGTTTCCCCAGAGTCATGAGGCATTTGTATTAATGCATGTCAACGGCTCCAGTAAGAGACTAAATCAAATATTAACGAGGGAGGATCCAAATTCAAATATATCTCGAGCCATAAAATAATAATGAAAATCTCTCTGCGGCTGCATGTGTCCTCAGCTCACCATGTCTCTTTCCCACATCCAGCAGGATGGGCTCCTCCAACACAATGGTGAAAGTCTTGTTCTTCTCGTACTCCTCGTCATCGATGACCTTCACATTCAGCAGCTTCCTGTAAGCAGAGGGGTCAAGGAACAAGGAAAGGATGGAGCCAACAGACAAGTGAATTGATTAGCATTATTTAGGAAATACACAACGCTGTCAACATACATTAAAGGGGACCTATCATGCAAAATGCACTTTTGTACGTCTTTTTTACATGAATATGTGTCCCCGGTGTTCCAGGGAACTCACCAAGTGTCAGAAAACACAACCCTCTCTATTTTCCTCCATACCCAAATCTCTAAAAAAGGGGCTGCAACGGATCTGATAAAAACTGATCCAGATTTGAACACTTTACTGACGTCAGGACAGTGGCGCTACGGCTATTGGGCCAACTCCACCAATCAGGAGGAGACAGCCACGGCCATTGCCGTTCGAAAGCGCTGGAGACGCTGTAGTACATATACCAGGCCTGTAGGTGGTGCTGTTCTCACAGAATCAGCCCTTGCAAAAACAGAGCAAAAAAATGTCAAATTGAGCAAAATGAGGCATGGCTAAAATGCATGATCTGTTTGGTATTTTGAAAAAAAAAAAGTATAAATATGCCTTATATAGTATGGTCCTACACTATATTATTCAAATATAGCATGATAGGTCCACTTTAACCTGCAATATATTGAATCAAAAATAGATCCCAGGCATCCAGTATTGCTACATGCTTTTATACAAAAACAAAGAGTGTAGCCAAGAGGTAAACTGCCTACACAATGAATCATGAAACAGAGATGTTAGATAAGAACACGGAAGCCTGAGATTTTTCCAACTAAAGTCCTGAAGTACGGAACACCATGTACAACACAAAATCATATTTTATTTTTCCCCTAGCACCCCACAAGAGGGCGGACGCCTTCTACACCATTAATCCCATTAGAGCACTAGAGAAATAAAGTGAGATAGCCCACACCCCTCCCACACACATCCATTTATAAGTCATTGGAAATTGAATTATTATCTTGTTCTCTATGGAAATCAAGCTCCTCCCATCTGGGAATCCATGCAGGATCACACAAACTCTTAAGACGTGTTTACAAAATACTGCTTTTTGCCCTTAAATGCGTGTGCTACCAAAAACATGTGAGTGAGGGTGTCGAACTGTGACCGACATATTCAGCCGCATGCCCCGCTTCATTCTCCCACACTGTCACAGCGAGTCTTTCTCTCCCTCTCCCTCCATCTCCCTAATGATATGTGGGTGGCTGTCTATTTCTGTCTACTCATGTACACTCAGGATTCGACAACACGGTAGAAAGAAGAGCTGTTTGCTTTGCAATAGAGAAGAAGTTTATTTGAAACACCAACGATACGTCATCAGCTGTCTAATGTCAAGGATAGTCATACCAGTGGGAGCAAAGGGAATCGCAGTATCGCCTGCAGTCCTTACCAAGGAAATAAAAGAGTTTCTTTTACACAATATGTTATTTTTAAAAGCAATATGTACAGGGACACAGCAAGTTTAAAGGCCATCGACTAAAATGTAGTGATTCACCTGCCAGGGACTGTATTCATCCTTTTGTATCTTACATCACACTTTGGGCAGATACCGTTGATCCTGCTTTAGTTTATGAAGCTGCGCAGGATATATAACTGGCAGGGAAAATAACACATTTACATTTTGCACACCTCTCACTCAAATACGATCTAGATATGAAAGCTGGGATCGGTAACAATTTCAATCGTAACCTGTGCCTGAGTTTTTGCTCTAATTTCAGAAAACAAATGTGGGTAATGATACCAAAACCAAATGTTATCGAATCAAAAGTAACTACAGAATCCCAAAAAGTAAAAGGAGGTCTAAGGTATGATTAGTTTGATGAATAAGTCTCACAGTTTCTTTTTCTTTTTAACTGGTTTAATATAATTGTGTTACACTGTTGTTGGAGCCTGGGACCTAAGATTGTCATCGTCATAACTACACTGTAGCTATGTACGTATGACTAATAAAAGCCTTGGACCTTGAAATAAAGCCAATTAAAACATTCTGGTTTAATGAAACAACCCCAAAAGAAAAACGTACTACACACCTAGTATTATGTTCATGTGTACTGCCAATAGGGTACATGTACAAAGTGAACACTGTACAGCAAACTGAATCATCAAGAAGCCATTAGAAATATGCCAGCGCTCAATGAGACTCATTGGAATTGGACAATCAAGATACTGAACTATTTAAAAAAAAGTTCTACTACCCATTAGAGCTCTAAATGTAATGGGATATACACAACATATTTCTAAAGTAAATTAAAGGAAGTCCATGTGGCATCCTTTGTAACTCTCTTGAGAACTGGCCTTGCAAGACTACCAACTAACCAATTATCTAGCTAATAGCTGATCGGCTAGTAAGCTAGTTGAAAGAATAGTTCAACATTTGGGAAATATTCATTTCTTGCTGAGAGATAAGAAGGTTCATGCTGACCATATTAAGCCAGAGCTGCTCTTGTTAGCTTAGCATATCGTAAAGGCTGCTAACGGTGAAAATAAATTGTTCCAGCATGTACTGTAACTCACTGTAAAGCCGCACCTTGCCATCTCAGCAAGTTAGAATAATTCCAAAAATATCTTTCTGTCCATTGACATTTGGTGAGGAATGAATGAGGTTCCTGTAACTACTGTAACTGTAACTCTTTCAGTTTCTGAATGGTGTAGGAATCAGGTTAACAGTTCAAATAGCACCATCAAGTGTCCTGAGCTGCGTATCTCTGCAGGTCTTACCTCTCATTACAACAGTCACAGTAGGATTCTATCTAGACAGTCAATCCCTCACTTTCTGCATGATATCACATTTCACAGTTTATCATCTCTACCCTGGGAAAGTTTCTGAGAATCCAAAGTGGATAACATACCTTGCTATCGAGTCTGTCAAACACATTATGTGAAGGACGCCACGACTGCATTCTCTGATCGATCTCTGATTCCCTTGAAATAACCATAATCTCTGCTGAGATTATAAATTCTATCAATGCTTTTTGACTTTTCATTTCCTTTCTCACATTTCTTAACAGCCTAATGTCTGTCAAAATGGTATCTGTATATTCATTTGCTGGATTATCCTGGTAAATGAAGGTTAACTATAGAGGAATAAAGTGCATTGATTTGTGATCGAGACTGCAGCAGCTGTTAGACCTTTTTTTTGGAGTTTCCCTCTCCCTCACATTGCGTTGGTTGGATAAGGGTGCTCCAGTTTCCTCCCACAACCAAAGACATATACACACATGTAAGTTATGAGGACTGGAGACTCTGAATTGCCTGTAGGTATGGGAGTAACAGATCTTATGCTTCTATGTTCACCCTAGGAGAGTATCTCTGCCTTCTGCAGTCTCCACGCTGGGATGGGCTCCAGCCCTCCTGAGAGCCTGACAAAAACTAAGCCTGTAGGGAGAATGAGTGAATGCATAAATGCATGACAGTATGCCGAATGCCCCTGACTGAACGGGGCACTGCCATTCAGTTGGAGAATCATGGATCAAACCAATGTGTCATTGTGTCAGCATGTGTCTATCTTGCTGATGTGTCCTTGGGCAAAAAACTGGTCCTCTATCAGCTCCAAAAACACTGCGTACGGTAGATGTGAACATAAGGCTGCAGCACGATGATGAAATGTGTTTTTCTCATATCCACAGCAGATACAAGAGATTGTTTTGCATGCACTGTTATAACCTAATGAGTGTGATTTATGTGTTTTTTGTATTTGTTGCTACTGTAGTGTGTGACATGCAAGCTCAGCACGCAAAGTGGAGCACTATAAGCTCCCTCTGGAGGGACATTTGGGATTGTAGCCTTTGCAGACCATTTACATGCACAAAAACCTATATAACACTACAGGAAAGGGACAACCCCAAAAAGCTCAAAAGGGCCCCTTTAAACTAAAACCAACATTTTCCGTTTGCTTAGATTTAATGTTTGCCTTTTGAAACTTTACCTTTACCGTCTGAATAGGATTGTTAAAAAGCAGGTTTTTCAACAAAAACAAACAAACAAACAAAGCACTGCAGAGGACACATTTTTAAAGAGAATATGTTCTTTTTCAATTTTTGTTCTGATGTCCCATAATGTAAGTATTGAGGCATGTCTTTTTGTTGCATTGCATTGATATTGAGGTAATCCAAAAGTAATGTAAAGTAATCAGGTTTCCTTAATGGGGCGAAGCCTGTGAGCGAGTTCAGGCAGTCAACACCAATGATACATCAACACGTGACGCTCCTCGTCCCTCTTACAACCAACCAAACACATTCTCCTAAACCTGCTGCTTTAACGTTGCTGCGGCTCGCCGGCCCCCCCCCCCCCCCCCCCCACCACCCAGCTTCCACCTGTAGGCTCGGGGGGGGGATAGTTATCTAATCATCACTCGATGTTCTCTGTAAATCTGTGGAGGCCCGAGCCTATAGACACCAAACTATATGCTGCTTCTAATAAACATATTAAAGTTGCCATTTTTTATAATGTGATACTAAGATTAGATGACATGTTTTCACAGGTAAGTCATTGTAAAAAGGAATACATTTTATTAAAAGTAACTCTAATGATATTGGAAAATGACAGCCGAACAAGATCACAGAGAAAATGTTGCAATGTAATGTTTTTGAGAGCATTCAACATGAGAGCGAATGTTTAACAAAAGGAAGCCTATCCGCGCTGCTTTAATGGAGCAATGCTTTTCTTCTTCCTTGATGAGTCCCCAGAGAAAGCACTCTGTTGGGGAAAGATTTGAACATTTCCAAATGCGTAAACATTAGCCAACCCTGACTCTGCGGCTTCCGCTTTTATCCATTTTTGTCATGAAGTTCAGCATATTATTGATCCTGACTGCATTAGGCGGGAGAAAGAAAGAACATCACGCTATTGATTCTCCTTTTGAGAAAGTGATCTCCTCACATCCCTTTCATTTGTGCTTATGTAACTGCCCCCGTTATCCACCTCAGCCTCAACTAGTGTGTAGAGCCTCACATTTTGAGGCGCTAACGCAAAAACAGACACAAGAGGAAGCTACACACAACCATCAAAGGGTCTGTGCAGATCTTCCTCTAATCCATAAACAGGGAATGTAAAACAGTACTCTATGTCAGCCTGTTTCTCTTGGCTCAGATGCTTGTGTTCGTACATCATAATCTATTTACTGCAGTGCAGAATTGAGATGGTAAATTGTTATTTATCTGCACAGTTGGATTTAAAACCGTTCCTCCTGGCTCCGAGTCAAAAGCTTAAAACCTGCCTCTTCTGCTCCTTCTGCACGCTCACACATCGACCGGGATAGCAGATGTACACAAAGACACACATCGCTGTGACACACACACACACACACACACACACACACACACGGAGCTGCCTTGAGGCCCGCTGCCGAGTGTGAGCTCTTTGCCCCGAGTGCTCCAGGGAAACATTTGTGGAAGCTTTGTTTTGAAGGATGAACTTTGTCAGACGGCTGAGCGGTAAGCACATATGCATAGAGCAGGTGCACAAAGTCACGCGCATAGATACCTCGAGATGACGTTGACTATTTTTCCGCTGCATCTTTTAACAGGACTGACAGAACGTTTCAAATTAAACAACCTCATAAAAAATTCAGTGTGACTGGAGCATCCGAGGAGCATAAAGCAGGCACAAAATGCATTACTGTCCAAAGACTTTTAGGCACTTAAAATCTGTTCAACGGGGTAAATTGGCTCCAGTACCTTCTACACCAGCTTTGATACCTTCATGTGGAAAATATAGAACAGCTTTTCTCTCTCTTACCGTCTGACAACAGGTATCTTGGATTAAAAGAGAAGCTGCTGTGATTTGACCCATCTGGACCTGCAAGTGTGACTCAAGATCTTAGTCAAACCGTATTTACTTTGATCTACAGAACCCCTGAATTCCCCTTTAAGGCCTTGTTTGCTATTCAAAGGAGCACAGGAGTAGCTCAGCACAGCTTTGGCATTTCCCGTTGCTTTTGTGTTCTCTTTTCATCGGCTTTCTCGTCATGGAAAGTGATCCAGCTCTCCGCTGTCCTTCCTCTCCTGCTTCACAGTGACTGCTGAGAGAGGCATGACTCCAGATACATATGAAGTGCGCCAGATTGCTTGTGTCACTGTCGGCTCGCTACAGACAGACGAACAGAGTCTTGGCTCAGTAGGTGAAGGATTTCAGCTAATGCTCCGTTTTGAATGCAGCCTCTCATTTCACGACGGTATACTCAACTATCTCATTAACTGCAGCTTCTGTAGCCGCCCGCGCTCTGTTGAGAACTTGTTGGACTCCTTGAACCCCTCTTCACACTCTTTAATTGCTCCGGATGCTCAAGAAGCTCTTTTGAGGTTCCCCCTCTGGAGCGACATTCTGTTTGATGTGGGTTTAGAGTGGATTGCGGCGCACAGACATGCGCTCTTAAAGATGCACACAGACAAGCGCACCTCAAGCAAGCAAACATGCAGAATAATGTGCAAACAGAGGAATATATTAAAATCACACCTGCACTGCGAGGGACAAAAGAGAAATAGGGAGATCTGCAGTCTCTTTGACACGCTGTGTTCACCTGCCTTTCCTCCCACTCAGCCGACCTACACAACACGCCTACACACGGGCCCTGAAATCCTCCTCACACAAACGGATTCATCTGACACATTTCCATTCCTTTGTTTAGTGCTCTGTGTTCTGAATCATGTCGACGTGATGAGCTCGGTACGGTTAAGAGCGGTTTCTTTTTTGGGGATCAAATCAAAAATAACTGCCGTGGATAATTGCGAGGCTATGCACATCGCATCGTAAAACACAAACACCACAAGTGCTCTCGTTCATTCAACCAAACCTTCCGTGCAATGTTCGAGGGAAAGCTGGAAAAACCTCAGACTTTCTGTAGCCTTCCTTATCTGCCTCTCTGCTGCTGCATCCATGAATGCTTTTGTTGAAACTATCACACAGGTTTCACTGAATGCACCTGTTTCCGTATCTGCTCAACCCTTCATCCTTTCCCCCGCTGCTGTTCAGTCAACTGCCTGATTTTCTTTCCCCCCTTCTCTGTCGCTGACATACACTTCCTTTTGTTTTCTGCAGTGGAGTGTGTAACATCTAGCCAAATCCCACAGGGCTGCGTGTTAACTCAATCATAGAAAGCTGTTCCCTCACTCCTTCCTTTACATCAGCCACATTGTTTCGGTTATCTGCCGCACAATTATATCCTCTTATCCTCCCACATCATTCCTCTGGAAGATCTAAAGTTCTCCGAGCCAACGTATCAATGACGCATATGAATAGCCACTTTAATGCTTCACCAGAATAGATCATTTACAGTAATCCAGCAGAACTCTTTAAAGCGCCAACGTGTGGGCTGTGATGTTTGATGAAGTGATTAGAAGCAAAAACTAGACATCACATAACAGAAGGAAAAACTCACATGGTCTCATCGTTCTGAAACTCCAGCTTGCCGGACACGTCCTCGTAGTCTTCGCCGGCCTTGGCGGTGCCCTCGACGGTGTGGTAGGGCACCGCCACCTTCCCCCTGGCCCCGGACGTCCGGTGGACCTTCACCTGCATGTTACCCACGCTCTCGCTGATCCTCATGGACATATTCTCAAAGGTGAAGATGCCGGCGTGGTCGTCATCGTAAATGGTGACCGTGGCGGTGCTGGCGGTGCCCAGGGCGGCCTTGGGGGGGGGCGTTGGAGATCCCTCCCGCGCTGTTGCTGGAGGTGATGGAGTTTGGCTCCAGGACAGAGACCTCAGCCCGGTGCACGATACGTGGGTTGCTCAGGCGCACGTAGAAATGCTCATCTTCTTCAAAGATATCATCATCAATGACACCGACGGTGAACTCTTTGGTGGTCTCGCCAGGCTTGAAGACCAGAGTGCCCTCGGCAAACTCGTAGTCTGAGCCGGCGTTGGCGGTCGCATCCTCCGTACGGTAGTCCACCTGAGCAAAGGAAGAAGCTTCATTAAATATGTAGGGCCTGGAGTTTTAATAAATATCTGAATGATTCATCTGTGTTATCCCTCAAGCAATCCATTACATTTGAAGTCCTCCACATACAGTTTTTCATGCACTGGTCAATTTTGAGATTTGGGGCTTTTTTTAGCTTCCATTACATGTTGCTTTCAGACTTCCAAAACATCCAAACTCAGTTAGGTGCTTATTTCCCTTTGTCTATGTGTCTGTAGATGTAATCCTAAATGTACCTAATGTTACTTCACGAAACCCTTAATAATAAAAAAAGATTGCTTTCAAGGTTCTTGCAAAATGGAATTTTACAAAACATTTATCAAAATCATTTATTTGTGAGTCAGACATCTCCACTTCAGTAACACTTACGCACACCAAGCTATCCACTCTCATTCCTATTTTTAGTCCCAAGGTTTTAAAACATTGGTTTAAAAACACAAAATGTTTATTTATTTAGTGATAAAAGGAGATCCAAAATGATTTTGTAAATACTACCTCATTTGCACATATTCAAACCTGTTATTTAAAAAAGAATTGTTTTAATGCAAATAATGAACTCGCAAAGTTTAAAGTATTTTTCTTTACCTGATTCACATGAAGTATTTCCCTCAAATTGACCATTTGCTATATTTATCATAATTTCTTTTTACCTTCACAGTGCAGCCACTCTCTCCTCCGTGCCGAGTGACTGACAGCTTCAGAGAGCCGCAGTTCTCGAAGCACTGGTAGTGATCGGAGTCAAACTGCAGGTAGATGGTGTTGGGGTCTTCCTCCTGCCCACTGGCCTCATGACAGCTCACCACCTTCCTGGCCTGGTCGGCGGCGTGCTTCTTCAAGATGTTCCCCGCTCCGATCATCATGCGCGTGGCTTGGATGCGATAGAAGGCCCGGCTCTTATGTTGTTGCACCAGCACTTGGTAGTTGGCCATCTCGATCAGCTGCTCCATGTCTTTCTCCGGGTGCCTTTGTTTTAAATCTTTCAGATTGCGAGCCATGTCCCGTCGGGCCTCTTCTTCCTGATCCTGCTCCGCGCTCCCTCCACCTTCCTCCACGCCCTCCAGCATCCCATCCAGCGCCTCTTTGGGGTGAGTGTGGGAGTTCCCACCCTGGCCGTCCATCTCCAAGTCCATTTTAGTAAACATGGCGTCTCCTTCCGACTCAATGATAATGCCTCGGGTCTTATCAGCGCGATAACGCTTATGGACGTACTTGTAGAAGAGAAGGCGGCGGTCTGCGATCCAGGCTTGGAGCACACAGATGGGGAAGAAGAGGAAGGTAAGGACAGCCTCCCACACCTCCACCTCTCCCGGGGAGACCACAGACAGGATGATATACAGCCAGATGTAGGCGAACACGCTCCAGGAAGCAGTGACGAAAAACACCCGCAGGTGCTTTACCTTCCGGACTTCATTTTCGGGCACCACGTGCACACAGATAGCGATGATAATGAACATGTTGAACGCAGCGCTGCCCACAATGGTGCTGGGCCCCAGAGATCCAGCCTCGAAGTTATGGCCGACCACTTCAATGAGGGACAGAAGGATCTCTGGTGCAGATGAGCCCAGCGCCATCAGAGTCAGGTTGGATACTGTCTCGTTCCAGATGCGTACAGTGGTCGTGGTCGTCTCACCGTTGGGCTTCTTGATGGTGATCTCCTTCTCCTGGGAGGTTATGACCTCGATGGAAGACATGAAGCGGTCTGCGATGATGGACATGCCCAGGAACATGTATATGAGGGCTGCAAAGTAAACTATGGCGCGTGCCACCTTGTCCCCCACCGCGGGGTTTGTGGGGTTCCACATGGGCAGCACCACGCCATCTGTGCAGTTTTCAGTGCTGGAGCAGTTGCCTGCTGCGACGTCAGTATCTTCAAGGCTGGCGCTGCCCTGGGAGACACGAGTGACTCCTGGGAGCAGAACCAGCAGCAAGGACATGAACATGCATGGTGCGAGGATACGCTTGTTCAGAAACATGGCAGCGTGATGATGCTTGGACTCTCTGAAAGATAGAAGAACAAGAATTGTGCGATGAGGTAATCACCTTCATTGGGTGGCTCATCATCAGGGTTCAGAAGTAACCTTGACAAGCAAAGGTCACAGAAGTGCTCACAGTCATACTTGTTTGTATGCAAACGTGGGATCCAGCATTTTCGTTGGTCCGAGTTTGGAAAGCCAGAAATATTGGCAACTACAAATCATTGAGTCATTGGTATTGAACTGCCCTGTCCAACTCCCACACATGTAATGGTCATTCTGTGCTAAGCAGCATTCGAAATATGCCCCTCTGCATCTGTAGTACTGAGAGATAAAGTGACTCAGTCCACTTTGTATTGTCGAGGTAGAGGGGAGTCCAAAAATAATCCTCGCTGAAAGTAAAAAACGAAAAGCGATGTTGTTTTGAGGCAGCCGAGATAAAGATATCAAATGATTTAAAGGAGGTGAAGCATGCCCCTCAACTCTGGCGTGTTATATATTGTCTAATGCTAAACACCCTTTTTTGCATTTTACTTAAACGATTTACACTGTCAGGGGACAATTTAAGATCAGTTCAGAGTGGCTTTCTTGGCAGCAGCGTGGCAATCACTAGCAGAGAGTACAGCATCAATACCGTCCAGAGGATTAGCATCTGCATCAATGTGAACAGAGAGAAAAAAACAGCGAAGGAATGTCATCTAATGCTTCCTAATTAAAATATCAAGACCACCTCCATCTCAAAAATAGGTTGCCATCCTACAGTAGAAGAGGTTTGACAATGCTTCATGTACGCCACCTGCTCTCATTGACATGCAGCTGAGAAAAGCTGCAATCTCCACTCTGACCTGCATAACAGGGGTGCACGTTTTCCATCAAGGATACATTTCAGGGTGAAGCCACGCAGCACAGATGTAGACAACGAGTTGTCCATTTTGTTGTTACCTTGTTAATAAACGACAAACATATTGTGTTTGTGCAGCAACAGCTTTGTGCAACACATGTCTGCTGTTGAAACGGAGTGAGACATCAGCAGGATCAGCACCATGGACAGCGAAACACATCGGCACAGGCAACATGTGACCCTCGGCCCCGATGATACATCCTTATTCAACAAAAATCAATAAATAAATGAGAAGAATAGTACACAGCGTCGTCTTGAGATATCATTGATTCCTTCCTATCATTTAATATAATCCTGCATTCGTCTGGCAGACAACCTTGCACAAATTTTGAGTGGGTGACGTTTCTATGGTAAAAGCAAGCTCTCCAACTGGTGGGAAGGAAGGAATAACATTTTTTTTATCCACAGTACGATAGAGACAAATGTGTCTACATTTTGAATGTGGTCTAGTGGTGCCATACACAGTTCAGTGGCATACATTCCTCTCTGAATCACCAGGTCCCAACCAGCTAACAATGTAAAGACATGTAGAGATACTCTGTCCCTGAAGAATGCAGGATGTATGCATCATCGCCACCAAGCTGGATGTATTTCACCTTGCTAACCCTAACCCCTTTTGGACTTCAATTATCTGCATCGCTGATATTAAACAACATTTTCCTTTGTAACAACATCAGTTTAACAGTTATACCACTGACACACCCAGCAAGATGCCACTTTTCCAATTCATTAAGTGACTCCTTCAACCTTTAATAATGAAAAAAATCACCCAAATGTATACAAAAAAGTGCCTCCCCATTTAAATGGAGTCCTCAAACGTGTTCCTGTTTGGTGAGAAGAGGTCTCAGGTTGGCAAGTAAACACTTGTTCTTAATAATGAGTTACACTTTGATGCTGCCACTCGTTTTGTGAGACTTTTTTTCCCTCTTCAAATGGTGGCAGTTTCAATTTGTAATGAGACTCCTCATAAATGTCATTGCTTTTGTCTTGGGAATGAAAAGTCATAAACAGAAACAAGCAGAAGGAAAATAAAGAGTAAACAATGCGTGAACAGACAAATCGAACTGTTAGCAGACAATATGAGACCTGGTGTTGAACACACACCGTATCTAAACTAAAAAGGACATACGCCATGTACTAGGTGTTTAGGGCCCAGCATAAAAGAGAAAAAGACAAGATGCTCATGCAGGAGTATACTTTAGGTTTTTATGGGTCCTATTTTTTATATTGCAAGAAATTGAATTACTCACCGAGGTGCAGTTTTCTGTGAGTCAGCTCAGAGTGGAAGTTATGGCCTCAGGAAAGGAACTTATCTTTCATATCGCTCTGTGGGAAGACAGGTTATCTTTAATGAACAAATTGTGCAGAGAGTTTCATAATCACCATGAAAACTATAGCCGGAGAGGATTCCACGTTAGAGAGTTTGAAGAAAACGAGAAGAGATTACACAGTCGATTCAGCAACTGGAGCTGAAATACAAAAAAAGACATCACTGTTGCAGACAATTGAAAATCTTAAATTGCACATGGGTTCTAAAACAACTATATTATTGGAGATTACAGAAAATAATTCCGTCAGTACGCTGTGGACAAGGGACAAATAGACTAGTCCATTTGGTGCGCACAGCAGTCCCATGGATACTCACCGAAAGCCCCGAATCTCAGCTGGACCCTGGTCTCAGCGAGGCTGCTCTGCACCAGTTCAAGAGAAGAAGACACCCAGTGTGCCATCCACGCAGCAGGCTGGTGTAATGGTGTTGGCTTGTTGCGCTGGTGTCTTGGAAATGACGCGTGTATCTTTCCACGGTGCTTCTTCGCTATTTATTTCCCTGACAGGTAGCCTACCTCAGCAAACTTAACACTGTTGGATTAGTTATTAAATTCCCCTCGCTTCAACGCGGCGACACCGTCCACAAAGCTAAGTAATTCTTTCAGAAAACACAATTGCGTTCTCAGCTTTTTCCTCTCCAGGCTACGTGCGAATGTTGATGCGTAAAATAATAAATGAAATGACTGTCTGTCTTGATCCGTCCCGCTTCTTCTATCAGTCAGAAATTCTTCTAAACTATCAATTTGTTTAAAAAAGGCTTTTAAGGTGTGTTTTTTCTCCGTAAAATAAACTGACTGGAAAAATTCCCTTGCTTTTCTGTCTGAGCGTGAGAGTAGGCGTGAATGAATGGTGACGGATTGAGAGGACGCAAAACCACACAAACGGATCAGGACAAGATGGATATCAAGCAGAAGGATGGTGGCAGACAGGAGAGGAGAGGAGTGTGGTGTTATGCAGATGGAAGTATTGTCTTACTCTTACGGAGGGCAGCATTGGCACAAGAAACGATGAGCAAGAAGGCAAAGCTGTAACACTGCAGAAACAGGGGAGGAGACGTTCAGGAACAGCGCTACACGCACGGCTGGTCCTCCTGACTGCGCATCAGGAGTCCAGGACGAATGGCCATTTCACTCCTAAACCCTCATTATATGCTCATTACCGTTATCAGACAGCCATCATCACAGATAGATCTGCTGAGGGTCTTAGTCTGATATTCCTGTTCAAGGCTCAGTACATCCCAGATGTTGCTGCTGTCTGATATGGGTTTCTGTTGTAGTCTGGAGTTAATACACAAACACGTAGTGGGCAATTAAACTATTCACTTATTATTGTGTCCTTAACCCTGAATTCATGATGGAATCTTACTGTATAAGTTAGGGTAAGGAAAAAACAAACCAAACTTGAGTTGGAAGAAAAAACTGAGAGAGATTAAAGAGGCTAAAAGTCGATAGTGAGACAACCTAGCCACACTGATCATTACCAGTAATGGGGTTAACTAAGGTTTGAAGTTGGCCTATGAGTTGCTATAGAAAAAGCCACCAATTGTATACATAAAAGTCACTGTACTGGTCATATTGTGACTACTTCTCAGAGCGAAACCTTTAAAAAAAGTTATTACAAGGCTTAGTTTAATACTCGATTCTGATTGGTCAATCTGGACATTTCGGAGGTTGTTAATTCTCACTAACAGACCCGCTGCTAAGGAGAACAGACCGTTGCTAAGGAGGAGCAAGGGACTGAGTGCAGTCATATCAATCCGCAGAAAGAAGTCCGGTCGATTTAATGTAATCTGTGGACAACAAACGTTCATTTTTTCAGTGAATATGCACGTTTGTGTTTGTGGAGAGCACGAAAACGTTGGATTGATGATGGCTAAACTGTCCCAAGAAAAGAAAAAGATAAAACAGTGCGTGAGAAGGAAAGAGGTTAAAAGAGAAGAAGACAAGGAAGTAAACACTAACAGGGACACGGTATGGGCTCTGGCAGTGTTTAAAGTTAACTGAAAAGAAAATGTGAACAGACTTGTCCATTAACAGCAGTTCTGCCGTCATGTTAAGTGACGTTGCTGTCGCCGCAGTTCCAGCCATTGGTACGCAGTGGAACGGACCATTTCTTCTTTCTGAGCAGAAGCAATACAATAATTTAAATCAATAAAATACATTTTAATTCAATCTTCTGAATCAAGTCGATAGTTTATTTAGTAGCCGTGTAATGGGCGGGATAGTTATCCCGTACTCAACAGTTGTATAAATTCTTAGCTCTGGTGAGGCTCACTAAAGTCTAGACAAAATAACCCTGATGATGCATCAAGGTTATTTTTTGTAGGCTTCAGTGTTTTTGAGTTACAAGCACAAAGATTTCTCAGCATCTGCTGCAGAGATGTCGACTACTCTTTACAAAAAAACCTCTCTAAAAGTCTCTTATTAATCCCCTAAATGTATAGAATTATAATACTAAATCTCTAGATTACCCATTTAATTTATTAAAATAAAAATTCTGATACTGTTAAAATTGGAGACCCTTTTTTTGTATCTATAATGTACTAAGTATTTTATCAGGTATAATCTCAAGAGACCCCTCAAAAGAAAAAAAACATTTCGAAAACTGAAAAACAGGAAAAAAACTGCATAATAAAAAATACAATAGTCATGAAAAGCAACAGAAAATAAAACGTTAAACTCCTCAATGCAAGACAGTTTAAAGGTAGCTTACAGCTCAATCTACTGTATGTTAACGGTGCAAAGTACCTATAACGTTTTCCAACATTTGTGAGTAGGCCTACATGAGGGATATTTGAGGTTCAGTAGTTTTAAAAGAGGCAAGAGATGTGGGTTAGTTTGAAAGCTTTGACTGTGAAGCTTTATAAATAAATGACAATAGGTGGCCTTCTTGTCTTGACTGTGAGGCCGCCGGTACATCCCTGAGATGCAGATAACGTGTGACATATAGCATATTAGAATTAACATGCTTTATTTACATGGCTATAAAAGTTTAGTTCAGTGATTAAATATAATAAAAGGTAAGTGGAAAGTCAGGTGATTAATCCTTTGGGTACCATGTATTTCTTAATCCAAAAGCATCACTAGTTGTTCACGCTGGAAGTGTTGAAACACTGAATAACAAACAATGTTTCCGCCATGCCCGCAGCCAAATCGCAAGCAAAGCAAGAAAATATAGCTTTCATTTGTATAAAATTAATTTAGTTTTTATTGCTGGATGATTGCCTGTAATAATGGTGGAATGGAGGCGGCATATAACCCACCTGAAGCGATGATTATGGCAAACCTTGGAGAGAAATAAAAGAGATTAGACTGAGATCTGGAGGACAGATAGCTGGGGGGAGGGAACACTACCCCGAGCAGCATGGGGGGGGGGGGCACACCGGAAGCCTCTCTAAGAGGACTCAGTATAAAATGATCCACAAGTGGAAAGTACATCTTGTGCAGAAGTCTCCTAATGACTTTGTGCACATATTTTCTGCAACATATGATCACAAAGTTCTACTAAACTTAAAGGGGACCTATCATGCAAAATGCACTTTTGTACGTCTTTTATACATGAATATGTGTCTCCGGTGTTCCAGGGAACTCACCAAGTGTCAGAAAACACAACCCTCTCTATTTTCCTCCATACCCAAATCTCTAAAAAAGGGGCTGCAACGGATCTGATCAAAACTGATCCAGATTTGAACACTGTCCTGACGTCAGTAAAGTGGTGCTACGGCTATTGGGCCAACTCTCCACCTATCAGGGGAATGTGGGGTTGGGCCACGGCCGGCCATTGCCGCTCGAAAGCGCTGGAGACGCTGTAGTACATATGCCAGGCCTGTAAGTGGCGCTGTAGTCTGCCACAAAAGCAGCGAAGAAGACTTCCCGTGCATGGTTACCATGGTTACCCTTCTGTTTATTCTCGGCTGTGGCTTTTTTTCTCCCTCCCCGAGGCAAGCGCTTGCTCCTGCTGCTTTAATTCAATGCAATCCCTCCCCGTCGAGGCAAGCACTGTAATTCTCTCCCCAGCAGATGACAAACACCCACCTCTCCGCCTCTTCCAAGGAACGAGGGGACCGTGCGGCAGAGTTTCAGTTTCAGTTTCTTTCGCCGGTCAAGATGTCCGTTAAAGTTTAAATCTTCCGGACAAAATTAGAAAAGTGCCGGTCAAAGGTCTTCTTTGTTATTTATTGAGCTTTAAAACAAATGAATAACGACTCTATATAATAATATAATAAAACACGGAGGACGGAGATCTATTTTTCTCCCCCTCTTCTGACTTGATCAGAGCGCGCTCCCCTCTCCTGCAGGGGGGCGTGGTCAGCTGCAGCTCACAGAATCAGCCCCCTGCAAAAACAGGGCTGGAGAACAGCAAATAGAGCGAAATGAGGCATGGCTAAAATGCAGGATCTGTTTGGTATTTTGAAAACAGAAACGTAGAAATATACCTTATATAGGTATGGCCCTACAATATATAATTTAAATATAGCATGATAGGTGTCCTTTAACTCACCCTCATAAATGTCTAGTGATCCATTTATTTTCTAAGTTTGTTATGTAAAAGGTTACTTTAATAGGTTCACCAGACTTTTATAAGAGCAAATTGAGATTCAGTTCCTTTAGATTATGATGTGAGTAGCTGCTGCTCAGTACAGACAGTATAACCCATGACACTGATGGATCCTTTCCACTTGCACTCACAAACCATCACATTCTCATATTAGCAGGTCTGCCTGTCAGAGGCCGGTCAGCTCAGACAATGTCACTCTCTATCTCTCAAATTTCAGTCATTGTCATTCAGCACCACGGACAGCTATGACCTGCTTTAACACTGAGAGAATGATAGGCTGTGGAATAACAACGTGGTCAATGGAAACCAGTGCACAGAATGCGTCTTAATCTGAAACTAAACATTCTGAGGCTATTCACACTGTTTTTTTTTCTTGTACCAGACTTGCACTTTGACAAGACCTGCACTAATAAGACATTTGAGCGATTGTCAAAGTGCCAACACCTGCAGTTTGTGGAATGGCCACTTGCGGCTGGCTCGAAAAGCTTGTCCCCCCCCATTGGCACTTGTGTTAAAATACCTAATTTATCAGCAGAGCAAGGCTGATTTTTTAAATCTAGATCACCAGTTTAAATGTATTAGGGCTCCAAGTTGTTCATAATTAAGGTCATGGAAGGTCATGGCCATTTTAATGACAGGTAGGTGCCGTTACAGTCACTGAACTCAGAGAAATAACATGTCTCGCTCTGTGGTTAATTGTACCAACAGACAGTCAAAGAAGTTGGTGAAGGGCATTTTAGTATTTAGTTTGTATGTGAGCACCATTGGTGTCGCGCTCACCATACCTTGCTTGTTAGCTTAGCTTGTTATAAGTGACTTTCCAAGGCAGTGATACTCAATTTACGACATGTGCCAAATCTGGCCAGCAACAGGGTGCAGATGGGCCCGCTGAACACTTCTTAATAACAGTGAAAATAAATGGATTCATGGAGGTATTTTTATTTTTCTTGTATTGTCAATAAGTTGCGCGAATACATAACAAAAAATATTTTAAATAGAAGAGAATAGCGCAATGTTTTGCCAGGGGGGGATCTGAATGTCCTGGCCTGGCCCTTGGCTGTTAAATAATCGACTAAGTACGTTACAAACAATACTCTTTGCTAGCCAAAATAAGCATCGTAATTATTATCACAGTTGAAATCACACCTTAAAGCTATGATGCTATTATTGCTGGTAAGTTAGGGATTGTTATGCTAAAGTTTACCTATAGCCTCACTGTCTATAGTTCATTCAAAGGAGCTGATTGTGGATTACAGGAAGCAGCAGGGAGAGGGACACGCCCCCATCGCCATCGCCATCAATGGGACTACGGTGGAGAGAGTCAAAAGCTTCAGGTTCCTTGGGGTCCACATCACTGAGGACCTGACATGGTCTCTTCACACCACCACCATCACCAAGAAAGCTCGACAGCGGCTCTTCTTCCTCCGCAGGCTGAGGAGGTTCAAAATGGATTCCAGGATACTCT